GGGGAACGCGGTGAGATCAGGTTCTACACTCGGGCTTCTGTACGTCACCGGCCGGCTTCTGCGTGTGCGTTAGGCGGCGGAGTGGACTGCTCGGGTGTCGACGTTTCGTCCCCTTGAACGCCTCGGGCTTGCGTCGTCTAGACCCCCTCGCGAGCGCACACCGGCCCTCCGACACTCGAAGACGACCACTAGAACCTATCACCAAATATCTTAGCCTCGGGTTGTGGTCGCTATTGCCGGCGGACATTAACACGCGCGCGGAGGTTCGACGACCGCCTCGCGTGCCCGCTATGGTGATTGGCCACAGCTCCCACACTCGATCGGAGTTGGAGAGGTATTGTGCCCACCCTTGGCCGAGGCCGGCCTCTTGTGAGTACTTAGGCGCCGACCAGCGGATGAGCAGCGCACGGAGCGCCCAGCGTTGCGCCGTCGACGGACGAACGGACGTCGGACGATATATGGTCAGTCTGGTATCGTTCCTTCTACGTTCCGTTCCGGGCCGCCAAGCTGACACCGCGCGCCGTGCAGCCCACGGCGCGCGGTTCTTTGCAGCGCCCGACGTGTTTGGCAGGCACGTCGCCCCTTGAAAGTTGCGGACTCAACGTGCCACTGTCGGTGAGATTGACCCCGAGGGCGAGACCGCGGCCGTAGGCGCACAGATTGTGGACGCGCTGGGACGCGGCACTCGCAATGGTGAGTGGCTTCCCACTCGCGCCTGCGCACGCTCTCACATTATCTCCGCACGCCCGTCCGCAACCTCCGCTTTGCACTTCGTCGCACGCCCGTCAAACGCTATTCCGCAGGAACACGGTCAGTATCTCGGTGCGTCACCTCTGGGGGTATCACTTACTGCGACGGAACTTGAGCTGACCGCATTGCGCGGATTATCAGTTGAAGGGTTCTGTGGCGCTGGGTAGATCAGTTGGCGGACGCTGCACACGGTCTACATTGACCGTAGCCACGCCTACTGGCTACAGTCAATGTCGCCGTATGCGTCTGTCACTCCGACACCTGCGCCAACACTTTCCAACCCGCCTCCAGGCGCTCCGACCGTTACGGTATGCACGCGGTACATACGGCGCTGTTATCCATTTCGGGCAGCGCGCCTATCCAGCTGAAAAGCGATGAACGCCAGAATGAATCTTTCGCCCGCGCTCACTGTCAGGGTCCCATGCGCTCACGTTCTTTGGAATTTCCTATTTCGTGGGCGTATGTGACGGCGCGCGCGTCCTATTGACGTCCCCGCAGTCAACAAAAGATATTCAACACCGCACGTTCCTACCCGGGCTGTGCTCCTGATCATACCGTCGGGCTCTGGTACGCCCGAAATATCGCTACTGGAATTGGACTGAAGCTCCCAGGATTAAATAGGGCGTTTTTGTGCGTTGGAGTGAGAATGTGTAGTTCGTCTCGCCACAACCCTGGAAGATAGTGAGGAGTCCCTCTTGGCATAGATAGGACAAGTATGGCTACTCTGTAGCCTGAACATACCTATATCTTTGCTCCAAGGTGGGAGCAGATGTCTGCGCAGGTCCAGGACGGCATTTTCGCTGCTACGCCGACACGTCGGCACCACGATGATCGAGAGAAGAGGCCCCGCCCTGTCGTACGTACTCGAACGGCCTGGTCTAGTACGTGTATTCCATCTATCTTCGCTGCAACGCGGGAGTACTCAGAAGGAGTGGTAGACTTGCAGGAATAGCAGCACGGCATCCGAATGTGGAAGATGGGCGGGCTGAGCGCCCTCGGCGGATTCCGTACCTACGGGACCCCGGAGGCGCCCCGTGTATCTCTCCTCGATGCGGAGTTCGTCCTCTTGTCACGCCTCCAAATCCGTACATGCACGAATTCGCACCATCATGAGCAACGATCAGGTCCCGGAGATGCCCAAGGGCTTCCTGGAAGCTACGGGCCCGCAACCGACGCGGGTTCGGAGGTGCGCCTCCGCGTTCCGTAGCGTGTACCTCCGCTGCTGATCTTCGTTTTTGGATATAAGGGACGCGGTTCTACAGCTCTTCGAGGGTGCGCGGACGCCCCCCGAGTCGCCCAGGCCCCTCGTAAAGCATTGTCGTGTTTTACGTTCCACTACACGTCGATAGCGGTACATGCCTCCGGTGTTTCAGTGGCAGTGCTGTACACTTCGTAGTAATATCGGCTGTCTAGAACATGGTACGTCCTGTATTTCGCCATAGTCGATCTTTCTATCAGAGGGCGCGTCTAATCTGTCACTAGCAGAAGCAAGTCCGGTCGCTAAGCGAACACGCATGGCCGCTGTGCACCGCGCTCGGAGGCAGGGACGGGCTCCGGACAGCGCATGCATTTGCCACGACGCAGCACGACGCGCATCTTTTAGGCGCATTACACTCGCGTTGTGCCGGTGCTGACGACATATAACACATTGCCGACGATCAAGCGTGTCGTTCCTAGTCCGCGAGGGTCATCGTGCATCTTCAAGGATACCGGGAGACGATCCCGCAGACTAGAAATGCGGGGTAAGGTCGCGGCACCCCCGATCTACGAAGCAAGATCCATGAGCTGTGCTAGGAAACATTGTGCGTCAAGCTGCGGAACATGGCCCCCGGCCCCCCAGGGGCGTGGAGGATTAAAAATTTGCTGGTGCCCTCGCTCTCCCTTAACCGTGCACGTCTGTACTTGCCGTACGTTTCCTTGTACTCGGTGGCGCATCTTGTGTCCTAACGTAACACATGGAACAGGTTGAATTTGCACGTCCAAACCGCCAACGAGAACGGTCCACGCACGTTCCTGCGGTGTATTTTCGGCCTGTCTCGATGGGGCCCGCACCGAACCCCGGTGGCCTGCACGGTATATGCCTCTTTCTCACCGACTTTCCCGAAGATGGACAAGGATTGCGCGGATCCCCCAGAATGGATCGGTACGCTTATTCTTATTCGTCTGCTGGCTATTCCGGCGTCATAGCTGGGAACTTTGAGCTAATGATCAATTGAAGCATTTCGGCAAGCATCGCTTACCCCGAGCTAAAACTACGACGATAACGGTGCGACGAAGCCTATACCTCGCGCAGCACTCACTATCACCGCTACGCCTTGCGTAACGATTGCGAGGTGCCGCCGGCTACAGCGTCCATCAGCAAATGCACCGATAGCGCGATGATGAGCACACCGCTCGCATCGCGCACCCTCGGAGAGGCGGGACGACATGCAGGGCGCTCTGGACAACGGGACAATGCGCCCTCGCAGGACGTGGATCAACAACGGTCAACTACTCACCTTATCGCACCGACGATCCACCCAGAAAGGCAACGGACCGTTCGCCCGCCCGCCCGCGAACTCGTCGGCGGTGCACCGTGGCGGCGTGCCTGACCGTTGGCGGGCGCGCCCTCCCCGATATGGCTGATGGCCTCGAAAGTTGGAGGCCTCTCCCCGGCATTCGGGAGATGGCCCCGCGATGTTCCCCAGGTCGCGAGGAGATAACCGTTCGCCGGGTCGCTGGCGCTCGAAAAGTTTTATGCCCTGATGTCTTCGGTACGCCTTCCGTGCTTCCTTCAATTGCCTAGGCTCCTTTCTGTCGGGTCTTGTTCTCTCTAAAGGTGCAGCACTGGATGGCGAATGGTGTCGTTGGTCTCCCTTGATAGGAAGAATCCTGCGGGGGCAATCACGGGGCGCTCTGTCTCAGCCCAAGATGAGCCATCCTTGTCCCAGGTGAAGGTAGCTATGCGATAGAACATCGCCCGTCGCTGTCTTCTTCGTGTCATGCCGTCGCTAATAATGCACCATCGTGCGTGTCCCTGTCAGAATATCACAAGAGTTCGACTACGGTCGCCTCGTTATCGCGCCCTTCAGTTCTATAAACTCCCGACTTTTGCAGCCAGCACATTTCCCAGCCTTGTGCGACTGGCGAAGCAACGAACGCTCCATCTGACGTAGGAGGACTAGAAAGCATATCTCTGGAAGTAGAATCCCTCTAGAAGTGGGCGGATTCGCAAGGTCCGTGAAGTGTGGAGTTGGTGGATCCTTCGAGATTCTGAAGCACTTTGTTCTTTAGGCGCAACGGCATCGCTTGGAGCAAGTAATGAAGTAGGTGGAAGGATCCGCTCTTGATCCACTGGCACAGCTCCGTATGCGCTCAAGATTATCAGGTTATATCGTGCAGCTATCGGACACCTCCTAGCGTCATGTCCAACCGTGAGAGTAATCTATTCCTTGTCGGATGGCATCGCGAACCACTTGATCCACTTAACAGCGACGAACTTCTGGGAACCAACGTCAGGTCAGATACAGTGCGATGCGTCGCTAGCAGCAAAACGCCGCCTGCACTTGCCTCCCAGTAGCCAACGTCAAAGCTTAACCGTTCCTTATTGATGCGCATATAATCCCTTAGGCGTTCGAAGCGCGGCTCGGCGGATTATTACGCGAGCGAGCGGCTGTCGACATCCATGAAGTACTACCTACGTCCACCCCGTCTTCGCCATAATACCCGCGGCGACAACCATCGGCACGAACGCCCCGTCCGCGAAGATCGACCAGTCCCTACTACGTATCCCACTGTGGCAGGAGCTCATCCGGCAGCTCCACTAGGAGCTCCAGCATTTCGGCGCCGCTGGCCTTGTCGAAGAGGAGCGCGAGGAAGGCGCTCTGAAACTTCCCGTCTAGATGACCGATGAAGAGGTGTGCATTGGTGCAGAGGACGGTTCCCCGGGAGAAGTTTGGCGTTGGGGAACACGAACTCGAGGAGGACCAACGACTCCACGATTTTCGCCCATTCGGGCGTAGGCTTCTTGGGCGGCGCATCGGGGCTGCTCTCATTCACGATCTTAGCCACGGCTGTAGCCTTCGCTAGCTATGTCCATGACCACCATGTCAGCCGACAGCAACAGAGCTCGATCGAAATCCAAGCGTTTGCGCCGTGCCTCAGTCATCATCATCTATCCCCACCTGCAAAACATCACGGCGGTTGCATACTTGTCAACGCTCGGTGGAGTCCTTCAAGCTTGGGCCGACAGGACGAAAGAACCAAAAACATGGACGTTGGGGGGCTTGAACCCTCGACCTCACGCAATCCTGAATGCAAAGCGTGCGCGCTACCACTGTGCCAAACGCCCGATGTAAGACGGTTGTTACAAGCTGACATGTGAACATGATGTTCGACTCGGGCCCTTTACTTCGACCTCTCAACGTCTTCGACTCGAACGGAGCTCTGGCAACGCGTTGCACTATAGTTAGCATACTTCTGGTCAAACAGATTACCCCATGGATATTAGCAGATACTATGTGGTACCAATCCTTAACGTCCAAACACTAGGGAAAGCTCAGAATCATCGCAAGTGCCCACAGCGGCTTTAGCAAATGTAGTCACGGATAACCTCGCTCGCTATTCTACGACGCCATAGCCGCCAGGATCGCCTCTGTGTTCACTCCGGGGAATATCTCGAAGTCTGTATCCACCTCGCACACCGTGTCGTTGCCATCTGGCAGCTAGATATGTGTACTCAGTGATCAATCCCGAGAGACGAGGCGGAGGTTATAAATGACTCACTGTGTTGTTCGTGAAGTACATAGACATGAGCGCGTTGAGGCACTGAGAGGGTTCCGAGACGGACGTGTGCTGCCAGACAGGAGGGTAAGCAATCACACTATATGCCTGAATATTCGATACTTACCCCGAATGCGTGCTGCTGGACAAATGTAGCACTGTCACCTAAAAGGGCCGCCACCGCCTCGGCTTCGGGAAGAGGAGTGACAGGATCGAACTACATAGACAGGGTATAATGAGATTTTTCGCCGGTTGGAAAGGATAGAAGCACGCACCGTGTTGCTGACGACCATCACCTTGTTGGCCAGCGTCTTTTTGAACGGCCCAGAGTACCGCTCTACGGCGCGCACCGGCCAGAATGGACAGGTATAGAACGAGGTAGGCCACCCCACGCTAACTGCACTCACCGCGTTCATAATCAACACAGAAGAATCTGGGAAAGGGTAGAGAGAACTTACACATCTCGGAAGTGTTGCGCGAAGCAGCGATGATGATTTCGAACACATCAGACATGTTGGTCCCGCGGGGGTCGATGCTGTCTCCGCACAGGATCGCCTCCTCCGTGAACGAACGCGTCTGGTTCTCCTGGGATTCGCTGTCCCTATGTCCACTGTAAGGTCATTCTCTCTGGGATGACGATAAACAGACACGCACCGGCGATGGGCGGGACGCACACCGCGCGGGACGAGGGACTGGGTGTCAGACTCCGCATCTACACCCGCGACGAGTGCAGGCCACGTCGTGTTTACGAAGTTCGCCGCCTGTGCGGGAGCCTCCATGACAGCCAACAGCGCCTCTGCACAGTACGACTCCCGTGTCAGTACTCTTTCGCCGCCTCAAGCTTGCAAAATGCATACGACGAATGCTCGCCGATGTTACCGGGACAGAGGGGTTCTTGCGCGCGGCGTCATGCGCCTGCTTGAGGACCACCTGGATGGTCGCGTCGATGTCCGCTGCGGACTGTCCAGGGGTGGAGGAGATGGGACAGCCCTGGGGTCCGGCAAGCGCGCAGCCGGTGATGAAGCCTTCGTAGACCTTGTCGGCGTCCGCGAGCTCGTGGAACGCCCACATCTACATATTCCAGACCGGAATTAGTATCGTAAGAAGGCAGTAGTGGGTGAGAGGGCTGACGGATGGGGTCTCTTCGGTGGCAAGCAACGTCGGGTCTATGATGCCGTCGATAATGACTTGTCCAACGCGCTATGCAGTCAAAGACGCATAAGCATCGCAGAGAACAGCCGTGCGATTCCACACCTCACCTCGGGGAACACTATTGACCGATACAAAGTCAGCAATATACGAGAAAGGATTCGAAGGAGCACTTACTGTTCATAAGCCACTGTCCCAAGAGCGACCCATACGACGACCCAAAGTAGTTCACCGGGCTCCCAGGACCGTCCAGCACGTCCGCCATCGCAACAACATCGCGCGCCGTCGCCGCCGTGCCCACATACGGCAAGAACCTCCCGCTCGGATGCCCCAGACAGCGTCGCCCAAGTTCCTCGTACTTCGCCTGCATGAGCGGCGCCTCGTCGAGCAGCGCGCGCACGTCGGCGGGGTCGGAGAAGGCCCCCGTCATCTCGATGCCCGTGAGCTCGATGGTCCCGTTCCAGAACGCGTCGTACTCGGCGGGGCTGTCGAAGCAGAAGATGTCTCCGGGGCTGAGTGGGAGTGAGTGGGTCTACTTGGGGCCGGCGAGAGTGAAGGGCGCGCCGGGCTTACATAGTGAGCGGCCCGACCCCGCGCGGGTCCCAGCTGACGATGTCGTACAGCCCGCCCGAGAGGGCACCGAATAAGCTACTCATGTCATTGAGAGTCGCCAAACCCGAGCCCCCTGGGCCACCTGCATACATCGCGAGGTGAGCACTAACTTGAACTTGGACGCCGATCCTACCGTGCGGTCAAACATACCCGGGTTGATGAACGCGGTGCCGCGGCGTTCGCCCGTCGCGCTGAGCTTCGCGAGCGCGAGTCTGCCGTACCCCGCGGAGAGGTCGTGGTAGTCCAAGGGGACCTCGAAGAAGGCGCAGGTCAGGGCGGGGTTGGTGATCACGCTGGGGTCACATGGGCCCCATTGGACGCTGCGGGCGTTTGTAGTGTTCTGTGGTAGTTCATGAGCAAGGTAATGGATGAAAGGAGACAGTCGCGAGGCGTACCTTCAAATAACTACTGTCGGCGAGTGTTCTTGTAAGAAGCTGGGATGCAATGAGGGTGCTGAGTGTTATTAGCGAGACCATGACGAGAGTGAGGTAAGGTCGTCGAGAAAGGGACCTTGGGGATTATTCATACTAGGTGAGTGCTCCCGGGAAAGTCATATTGCACTGCTGTAATATGAGAACAGTGGGTTACCCTGAGACCCGGAAGAAAAACATGCATGCGATCAATCCCAAGCTGTGCCGGAGCTGCTAGACGATGATCGGAGAGTCGGAAGTATCACGATGACTCGCAGAACGGAAGAAAGTCCGGTGGCACCTGCAGGACTGTGCAAGATACCTTTGCGCCCTTGCCCATGTTTCGAAGGAAGAGCACTCACGTACGCAAACACTCAAGACAAGGTAAACCCTCCGGCTCCGAGTACAAGTGGTCCTTGAAGGGGAACAAGCGACCAATACCGGTCATGCCGGATGTGAAATTGGTCGAGCGCGTCAGCGCGCGCATCCCGCACACGTCGGCGGTCTCTGCCCTAAATGTGCGCTTGCTTTATATCTGGCAGGGTGCAGCAATGCATGAGGATAGTTCGAAGGCGTAGCTCTTAAGAAGAGGGACTCACCAAACAGGACATGCATGAGTGGGCTCGAGGGCCGGTGCAGAGATGCACGTCGCACTCCGATTGCATGCTAAGGCGTCCCGCGCGGTGAGTTTGAAATCCTGTATTTACTAGCGCGGTCAGGTAGCTAGGATATCTCTTCACAATTTATACTTGTAGCATCTTGGAGCGCCGACGCGTGATCCTAGTCATTAGTTCGTCAAGCCGTAAATCGTGCTTTCCTTTTTCCCAACCCCCTCTACCGTCCATCCTCCCGCATCCTCCCGCCATATATCACCCGCCCTCCCGCGAGCCGCGTCTACTGGTTCTTGCCCCCGTTCACCTCCGCCGCGCCGACCCACTCGCCCGAACGGTCCTTCTTGCGCACAGTGAAGCACGCGATGCCGAGATACTCCGTGATATCGTTGATGACGAGGTAGCAGAACCGCGCGTACGACAGGAACGTCACCGCGAGCGTCACGTACACGAACAGCGCCGTGCGCGGCATTGAGCTCTGGATCAGCGGCGGGCTATGGCGCACGTCAGTCAGTACGCCGTGCTCCAAGTAGACAGAAAAAGGTCGAAAGGGAGAAGGACGCACTAGCCGATGAGCCGGGGTAGGTTCGCGTCGACCGCGCCGACGATGCTCCACACCCACATCGCGTCCCACCACGGAAACGGCTGGCGCGTGACGTGCGCGAGGATGATGCGCGAGACCTGGTGCGCGAACTGCAGGCCCCACGCGCACAGGAAGGGCACGAAGAGCGCCGAGTGCAGGATGCGCGAGTCGTCGAACGCTGGGGCGCTCAGCCACGCGACCTCGAGCGCGACGGACACCGGGAAGGGCAGCAGGAAGAGCAGCGGGGAGAGCGGGCCCTTGCCAGACGCGACGCGTGCGGTCCAGACGTTGATGCAGCTGTGCGGGGTAGGGGGGACGGACGGTCAGCTGAGAGGCGTGGCGGGTGGCGGGGAAGTTCGAGGGCGTTTACCTAGTGAAGATGTTGAGCGCCATGCCGAAGCCGCCGAATACCATGAAGGCATCGTTCAGACCGAGTCTGGGGATGTACTGCAGCACGATAGGGTATCGGTCTAGTCTAGTGAGTGCAAGGAATTCGGTATCCCAGAATTGGGGACCTGAAATGCATTGTTCAGCTGCGCGGTTTCAACATATATAAATATCTGAAGCGTACCGGTGAACCCTGTGATCGTGTAAAGCAGCACGACAGACAGAATGCCTTCTACAGGTCCTGAAAAGACGCCCAAGAAAAGTTGGCCTGATGATAAAGGCGTCAATACGATACGCAGCAGCTTCTGAACACCCTCTATCACCTGTGTGGTACTCTTCCCAAGTCGTGAGGTAGAAGTTGGCGAGAGTGGCGATCTGGGAGGTGACGGTCCACCATGATCTTCCGAGATTGAGCGCACGGCAGGCGAGGACGACTTCGAGCTACAGGCAAAGGGTTAGTACTTGCGTGAATAGGAGTGGGCTAAGTCGTGCATACAGTTGTGTTTAGTGCGTCACAGCCGTGATCGAACATTTCGCCGAGGGGGCCTGCCATGCCCGTCCGCCGTGCTTGCTTCCTACACCGCGATGAGTTTTGGGAAATTTCACGAAGGTCTGAGGACGTACCCGTCTATGGCATCTAGTGTTTGATACAGGAAAAGGCCTGCCGCCCATCTACCCCTTGCCTTCAGCGCCCCACTCTGCAAGTCATCAAGGAGTCATCGACGTACGTGAAATAGATCCAATTAGGAGGGCCCTCGGCACCCTCCTCCTCAGTAAGGTATTTGGGGTCGTAGTACAGCAGTGTGGCGAAGTTTGC